TTGAGGAATTTGGAGCCCGACCCCACCGACTGTAGATCGTAGCCAACTTTTTCTTCTATCAGACGGCGCGTCTCTGATTTGATATCAAGCTCCTTGATCCATTTTGAATTAACTTTTGTGCATGGCGAGAGAAAGGGATTCAGTTTCATTTTGTTGCATATGGATTTCCAGTTTTCCCAGCACCATTTGTTGAAGATGCTATCCTTCCTCCATTGCATGCTTTTAGCCCCTTTATCAAATATAAGATAGTTGTAGTTTTGTGGATTGGTTTCTGTGTCCTCTATTCTGTACCATTGGTCCACCCGCCTGTTTTGGTACCAGTACCATGCTGTTTTTGTTACTATTGCTCTGTAGTATAGTTTGAAGTCTGGTATCGCTATACCGCCTGATTCACACTTCCTGCTTAGCATTGTTTTTGCTATTCTGGGTCTTTTATTTTTCCATATGAATTTCATGATTGCTTTCTCTGTTTCTACAAGAAATGCCGTTGGGATTTTGATTGGCATTGCATTAAACCTATAGAGAACTTTTGGTAATATCGCCATTTTGATGATGTTAGTTCTGCCTATCCATGAACAGGGTATATTTTTCCATCTTCTAAGATCTTCTTCTATTTCTCTCTTTAGGGTTCTGTAGTTTTCATTGTATAAGTCTTTCACCTCTTTTGTTAGGTTGATTCCCAAGTATTTTATTTTTTTTGAAGATATTTTGAATGGAGTGGTTGTCCTCATTTCCATTTCAGAGGATTTGTCGCTGATATACAGGAATGCCTTTGATTTATGCGTGTTGATTTTATATCCTGTCACTTTGCTGAATTCATTTATTAGCTCTAATAGTTTCTTTGTAACAACCCAATCAACAAATGGGCCAAGGACCTGAACAGACACTTCTCAGAGGAGGACATACAGTCAATCAACAAGTACATGAAAAAATGCTCAACATCTCTAGCTGTCAGAGAAATGCAAATCAAAACCACCCTAAGATACCATCTCACTCCAGTAAGATTGGCAGCCATTATGAAGTCAAACAACAAAAAGTGCTGGCGAGGATATGGGGAAAAGGGTACACTTGTACATTGCTGGTGGGACTGCAGATTGGTGCAGCCAATTTGGAAAGCAGTATGGAGATTTCTTGGAAAGCTGGGAATGGAGCCACCATTTGACCCAGCTATTCCCCTTCTCGGTCTATTCCCTAAAGACCTAAAAAGAGCATGCTACAGGGACACTGCTACATCGATGTTCATAGCAGCACAGTTTACAATAGCAAGACTGTGGAACCAACCTAGATGCCCTTCAATAGACGAATGGATAAAAAAAATGTGGCATTTATACACAATGGAGTATTACTCTGCATTAAAAAATGACAAAATCATAGAATTTACAGGGAAATGGATGGCATTAGAGCAGATTATGCTAAGTGAAGCTAGCCAATCCCTAAAAAACAAATGCCAAATGTCTTCTTTGATATAAGGAGAGTAACTAAGAACAGAGTAGGGACGAAGAGCAGGAGAAGAAGATTAACATTTAACAGGGATGAGAGGTGGGAGGGAAAGGGAGAGAGAAGGGAAATTGCATGGAAATGGAAGGAGACCCTCAGGGTTATACAGTGGAGGGGGTAGAGAGAGAGGAGGGGAGGGGAGGGGAGAGGTGGGGAGGGTGGAGGGTGGAGGATGGGAAAGGCAGCGGAGCACAACAGACACTAGTATGGCAATATGTAAATCAATGAATGTGTAACTGATGTGATTCTGCAATCTGTGTATGGGGTGAAGGTGGGAGTTCATAACCCACTTGAATCAAAGTGTGGAATATGATATGTCAAGAAATTTGTAATGTTTTGAACAACCCACAATAAAAAATTAAAAAAAAAATAAAATAAAAATAAAGGGATGCATGACCTCTGCAAAGAAATCTACAAACCATTACTGAAAGAATTAAAGAAGACATAAATCAAAGCTGGAATATACCATAATTATGGATTAGAAGACTCAACAGTATTAAGGTTTTTTCAGAAGTTGACAACTGATTCTAAAATTTATATGGAAACACAAAGAGTCAAGAAATGTAAAGACTGTTTTGAATAAGAAAACAAAATTAGAAGATCAGAACTATGAGATATTAAGACTTATAAATTTACAGAAAATAAGTAATGTGATATTAAGATAAAGAAAGACAAATATGACACCAAGAGAATACAGAATAGAGAGGCAAAGACACTCATACACACATTCAAGGCTCATTTCAATAAGTGCTACTGGATCATTGGGAAAAAAACCCGAAATTTTACCTCTCTGTCATGTTATTCCTAAAATTAACATCAGATGGATCAAAGACCTGATCTGTTGTAAGGAAAAAACCATATCATTTTGAACATTAATTGCAGATTATCTTACTGACCATGAGACAAGCAGAAAATTCTTAAATAGCACTGAAATAACTGAAACCATAAAAGAATAGATTGACAGATTGGACTTTATTAAAATTAAAACCTTCTACAACTTATTAAGAAAAAATAAGATGTGGGAGTATAGGTTGGTGGTAGAGGTAACATGTGTGAGTCCCTGGGTTTCATCTCTAGCATCATGAAGAAAAGGAAAACTCAACTTTTGATAAATAGGTAAAAGACTTAACAGGCACTTACATACATGTGCGTGTGCACACACACACCCCTGAGCTTGCTCTCTCCCCTGTTTTCTCTTACACACACTTACATGCATGCACATGATATCTGAATTAATTACAATTACAAATGGGAACACATGTGGAGGATAGGACTACTCAAATTACTTTTTCACAGTTCCCTTGGTTCAGTCTTCAGGGGGAGGGCCACTGTGTGTTTTTGAGTTAGAATTGAACAATCTTGTCTGCAGGGGAGAAGGCAGCACAGGGGGAGATGTGTCTTTCTGAAGCTACACGTATATATTGAGTCACTTCAGGGAAGTGATGTCCTCTTTTCAAATCCCATCACAGTACTCTCCATTGGCACTTCTCTGCCCTGTGCCTAGGTTCATGGAAATGGAGTGACATGAAAGAAGTAGAGGCAAAAGTCACACCCTGTGGGGATTAGCCTTGCCTCTGCCATTGGCTGTCAAGGTGATGTTTGGTAAGTTACTACATCTCTCTGAGCCTTAGTCTTCCCATGTAAGATATTGGGTCAATATTTATTTCAAAGGTAGTTACAGGGACAGAATGAGATTATAAATGTGAAAATACCCAGCACAGATTTCACGACATGGAGTTTTAAAAGTAGAAGTGTAGAGAGAGAGAGAACTTCCTGCAGCTGGTAATACTATTTGCACTGTTTTTTTGCATGACTCATGCAACGTAAGGTCAGTACAGTGCACCTTTTTCTACTTATTAAGAACAATGAATCCATGCCCTCCAAAGACTATAATTTACTCTTGCAAGTATTTGTGTGTCAATCTGTACATTAGAATGCATTAATTAGTATCTATGTGGTTCTCTTATACATTAATAATTACAGAGATGATGAAAACATATTATTGGAGGGGGAAGTATGAAACAATCAATAGAAGTAATAAACACAAGTATTCTAGGTATTCTACAGTTATAAAAGACCAAACATATCAAATCATAATAAATTATCTTTTTTTTAAAAAAAAAAAAAAAAAGACCTTGATAAAAGACCTGTGGGATGGATCAGAGTAAGATAAGCCATAAAATTGGCTTTGACTCACAAGACAGCACTATACTGAGGAGCAAAGTGAAAGTCAGAAACTAACTCTGGCTTAAATTCAGAGTTTCACACTGGCTTACTTTGAGCCAGACCCCCTATGACCTACATTTTTACAGCATCTTCACAAAACAAGGTCCCTGCATGGAATTTTCCTTCTCATATTATTGCCTGGAAATTGTTATGCATTTTTTGAAATCACAAACTCATTTCATTAAAAATACTTTTGAATTCCTTAATATGTATCTACACTAGATATCAGGGATAAAATGGTGCACAAAATCAAACCATGACCTCATTCTCATGTGCTCAGCCTGTGCACTAATGTCCCTGTAAAACTTGCCTGAGCTGCTTCCTCCCCTGTCCTTGAAGCTCTGGGTGCACACATGGTATTGAAGAGCAATCTGTGTGTTTACTGGGCTGTTACTCCAGCCTGGGAGGGGGGCTCCACAGAGGAAGGATTAGGTCTATTCATTCTTTCTCCCCCAGCGCACAGGATCTGACACATAGTGGGCACTCAATAAATGTTTGTTGGATGGAATCATGCATTATTCATGAGGTCTTGACACATTCAAATCTGTTAAATGAATCTATTTAAGAATATTAGAGAAATGAAAACAATTATATTCAGGAAAATTACATCTTTTTGAAACAGTCTTTGTTTTTCTTATTTTATTAGCATTTTATTAACAGCCCTAGCAGCTGCTTTAAAAATGTCCATATGCTCATAATGTTAGTGGTTTCTAAAAGAATGCATAGTATTAATGTAGTTGAAATGATACATGGTCAGCCTTTTCCTGGGAAAAAATAAAATGAGCTTCCATTTAATTGGAAATAGCTATGTATATAAATGAGTTAATATACCAGGGGATCTGTCTTTTCTAAAACAATCAACAATGGTTCATCCAGAGATGGAAAGTGATAGAAGACATTAATAGAATTTGACTTCATGACACCAAAGTTTGGCACATCCTACAAACAAAGGTAACATCTTTTACTTAAACCATTTAGTATAGATCTAAAAGTTTTCTCAAGATCATAAAAGGTACTGAGTTATTTTTGAAAAAAAAGGAAAAAATGAAATGGCCATTATTTGTGCCAAAAAAAAGGTGTGGGGGGGAGAAGAAGTCATTCTTCAAGTAATACAAGGAGATTTTGGAAACTTAAGTAGCACAAACATCAAGGGAACTTTGGAGATGAAGAGATACAATTTCCATCTGCTTATCTTGAAGTAAATAACATGTTTAGCCTTTAGTCATCTTGTAAAAACTTCCTTAGAAAAGGATAAAAAAGTGAAAGTATGAAAGTACCTACTTGGTCTGGTGTTTAGATCCTTTCAGGTGGGCATGATACTGTTCTATTGAATTTAGGGAGACACTGCAGATGGTACATCTGTAATTGCGCCTCAGACCTGTGGACAACAGACAGACCTGGTTAGCTCCATCTGGATCAACCACCTGAATGAATTCTAGAACATTGAAAAGTTCAAGGACAGAAGACTTCCTATTTCATACCACCCACTACACTTCAATCCCTCCTTCTGGATCCCAGCCAGCAGATCCTTTAGTAGAAGTGTGAGTTTGGATATATTAGAAGCAGCCTACCCCATTTTGAGATGACTGAAATTATGGAGACTTGGTTCTGTGAATTGAAGCAAAGTGTTTCTAGACATTCTATAATTCCAAAAAGCATTCTGTTTTTTCCCCCTAAGTCATACTGATAGTTGGTTGTCATCTCTGAAGTAAAATTTGAAACATCAAAAAAAAAAAAAAAAAAACAAATAACAACAAAATTCTCTTTCCCATTCCTTTTCTACCTTTCTTCCATTGGCAGAAAAGGAAGTACAATTTTAGACATCATTCATTTAGTTTTCCCTTCCATCATACAAGATGGAAATACCCAGGAGAAGAATAAAACATCAATCTCTTTCACACGAAGTATGCCTTTCCAACAGAGAGTTTAAAAGACAGTTTACTTCATTAATAACAGTATCAACCATGGGCCAGGCACTAGGGATTCCAAGATGAAGAAGATAACTTTTTTGCTTGCAAGGAGTTCAGCAAATTTCATAACTATTTTGTAGTATTGACTCATCTTGAGACAAACTTGTGTTACAAACAGCTTTTACTAAATAACTTTAAACATCTGCCACAGCTCAGAGACCCACACTGGAACACTTTCCTTCTGCTAGTATGTCCCTTCAGAGTAGAGAGAAAAGAAAAGTTGGTCATGATCTGAAACTTTGGATTATATCATAGCTCAAATATCCCCGGTTGTGCAACCCACAGAAAGTAACATAACTTCTTCCTAGCCTCAATTTCCTCATCTACAAGTTGAAGACAAGCCCAACTACTTCACAATGCTGTAGTAAGAACTAAGAGAATAAAATGTTTAGCAAGTAAAAGTTATTAATATTGATTTTGCCATAAAAATCTGGTTTTCCTATGTAAAACCAAAGACATTAAACAACTACAGCGCTTCTTTCTAATTGATGCATAGTATTTTTTTTCTAAGAGGCAAAGCTATTCCCTATTTCCCTAAGAAAATAATGCATAATGGTTGAAAAATCTTTGCAACTTGTTACCTGGATCACTTTATGCAACTTATTTGACTTCTGTAAACTTCTGTTTCCTTTGAATGTTGGACTGAGTGACATATTAAATGTGTATGGGAGGGAGAGCCTGGTATGTAACATATGATCAATATAAGTTAGTTATGATTATGATTTTGGATAGATATCAAAATGGAATCCCTTATGTCTCAAGGATTTGACATCTTGCCCTGAAGTCTTGAGACAGATAGCAAGTGCACCCCCATTACCAAAGTGAAAGAAGAGACCCCAGTGCAATTGGGACATTCAAGGCAAATGGGCAAGAACCAGTGTCACATCACAAAGTGACCACTCAATGCCGGTCTACAAGGGAGTGAAGAAGAAATCAGAAGTGTCTTTCTGAAGAGGGAGCTATATTGTACTGGAAGTTCCATCCTCCCATCTCCACAGGAGAGCACTGAGTATTTCTCCCCCACTTCAAGCCTATCGGAGATGTCTTAATAATGTTACCTAGTGAGCTTGAAGAGTATCTTCTTGCACTTGGAAGCTATGAACTGGAATCTGCACTGGCAAGAACCAAAGTACTAGTGACTGTGACTCATTATCAACTCTGATGGAAAAGTACAAGAGATGGCAGGACTGGATGTGGCCTGTCTTATCAGAGCTTGCCAGACCAAATTAGTATTTTCTACAGACTATGTGTAGACTGTACATAAGAGCAGCTGATTTAGCAATGTCTTAGATAATGCACAAGAGGGTATTACTGAGTTACAGAAGTTGAGGGCAAAGAGACCTCCATAGAAAGTGTTCATCTAGGTACTTAATGTGGCCTCAGATGAGATATTTAGCTGATATTAAGTAATGGTGAGTCCCTGATAAAGCCCAAGAGAAGAATCAGTTTGCAGTCCCTTCCATTCAAAGAGCATCTAAGCTAGCTTTGTATAGAAGCCATCAAGCTAGCTTTCATTTGCCATGTCTTTTGAATTCTTCACCCTGCATCTCTCAGCCCTAGAGAAACGAGAGGAAATCTACTGAAGGGGGAGAAAAAAGTGAAGTCCTAGAAGACAAGCAAAACTCCAGGCAGAGAAAAAGAGAAAATACCTAGCATATTTTCTTTCTGACAGCAAGCAGGCAGCCCTAAGTACAGAGCTGGAAGAGGGGGATACCTGGCTTCTAAAACTTTTGGGGATGTTTTTAAAATATTGCTCTATCCTGAATATATTAATAACTATCAATGAGGAGCAAAGGACTCTCTATGACATGAAAGTGGAAGTTCATGACATGTCCTCATTTTATTACAAAGGATAGGAAAAAATGAACCCATTCTGTAGGCTCTCTATTCACCTCATTGATTGTTTCGTTGGCTGAGAAGAAGCTTTGTCGTTTGAATCCATCCCATTTATTGATTCTTGGTTTTAATTCTTGTGCTACAGGAGTTTTATTAAGAAAGTTGGGGCCTAAACCAACATGATGGAGATTTGGGCCTACTTTTTCTTCTATTAGGTGCAAGGTCTCTGGTTGAATTCCTAGGTCCTTGATCTACTTTGAGTTGAGTTTTGTGCATGGTGAGAGATAGAGGTTTAATTTCATTTTGTTACATGTGAATTTCCAGTTTTCCCAATGTACAATTTTGGTGCCTTTGTCTTATACAAGATAACTGAAGTTATATGGGTTAGACTCTGTGTCCTCTATTCTGCACCATTGGTCTACAGGTCTAGGATATACAATCAATCAACATATGAAAAAATGTTCAACATCCCTAGCAATTAGAGAAATTCAAATCAAAACTACTCTAAGATTTCATGTCACTTCAGTCAGAATAGCAGCTATTAAGAATACAAACAACAATAAGTGTTGGCAAAGATGTGGGGGAAAAGGCACAGTCATATATTGCTGGTGGGACTGCAAATTGGTACAGCCAATCTGGAAAGCAATATGGAGATTCCTTGGAAACCTGGGAGAGGAACCACCATTTGAACCAGCTATCCCTCTCCTTGGTCTATACCCAAAGGACTTAAAAACAGCATACTACAGGGACACAGCAATATCAATGTTTATAGCAGCACAATTCACAATAACTAAACTATGGAACCAATCTATAAGCCCTTCAGTAGATGAATGGATAGGGAAACTCTGGTATATATACACAATGGAACATTACTCAGCAACAAAAGAAAATAAAATCATGGCATTTGCAGATAAATGTATGAAGTTGGAGAACATAATGCTAAGTGAAGCAAGCCAATCTCTAAAAAACAAAAGCTGAATGTTTTCTTTGATTATGAGGATGCAGACACATAATGGTGATTTTGTTGGGAGCATGGGAGGAATGGAGGAACTTTATATAGGGTAAAGGAGAGGGAGGGGAAAGGAGGGGGCAAGAGGTAGGAATGATGGTGGGATGCGTTAAACATCATTACCCTAAGTATATTTATAAGACACAAATGGTGTGAAAATACTCTGTGTACAATCAGTGTCTCGAAAAATTATGCTCTGTATGTGTAATATGAAATGAATTGCATTCTGCCATCATGTGTAACAAATCAGAAGAAACTTTAAATATATATATTTTTAAAAAGAAGTGAAGGCAGAGCTCCTCCTCACAAGATAGTTCCAGTCAATATATTTAGAAGAAAAAATGATTAAATTACCATTTTCAATATAAAACAAAAAACAAAAATCAAAAACGAACCCTGCAAACACAATCTGAATGGTCAGAGGAGGATAAAAATGAAGTTCTCTTCTGATGACATCACATCCAACAGGTCCTGCTTACTGAAAGTAGCAGTCATCAGACTTGCTTTTATGTCTACAATTGAACAAAGAACAGAGCTTTCTGGGGTCCTTCACACTTTTATGTTCTGATGCACATTTCAGGGAAATCTATGTGCAATGTCCTGTGTAAGCTGGGTTGGTTAGTTTGAGGACTGTTCATTTCAATCACAAGCTGACTTATCTAATTGTTCCATTAAGAGCCAATTTAAAGGGGTTGGAGATGAAGCTAAGTGGCAGAGTGCTTGTCTAACATGTACAAGGCCCTAGGTTTAATCCACAGCACTTAAAAAAACAAGAGAGTCAATTTAATTATGGAAGAAAAAAAGGATAAAGCAACAAAACTACAAATATCCAGGATCTTCTCTGGAAAGTCTAAGGAACCCAAAACTTCTTGGGCATGCTTCCAAGCTCAGAAATATAATAGACAACTGTCGAATCTTTACTTGCTGGAGAAATGACTCTCAGGTGAGTGCAGATACATCCTCCAGTGATAGTGCTAACCTTCAGATTCCCAGGCAAAACTTGTGGACATGCCGATTCTATAAGTTTTGGATGGACCCTGGAAATGTATACAATCCTCATCCCTACCATGTTCTCACATTTTAAAAAGAACTCCCCCCACATACTTGTACTCCTTTGGGAAACTTGAAGCCATCACAACAATACTGGGTCTTCAAAAGAAAAAGAAAAGCTATTTTATAAAGAAGAGCTCTGAGCCAGGTACAATGGTTCAGGCCTGTAATTCCAATGACTTGGGAGGCTGAGGCAGGAGGACTGCAAATTTGTTACACAGCTTCAGAAACTTAGCAAGGCCCTAAGCAACTAAGTGAAGCCCTCTCTTAAAATGAAAAATAAAAAGGGGTAGGGATGTAGCTCAGTGGCAAAGTGCCCCTGGGTCCTATCTCCAGTACCAAAAGATAAAAATAAAAAATAAATAAAGAGCGCTACTTACATTGGCTTTCCATTTCACAGGCAAGCATGATTCAGAAAGATTATCACAGTCCCCAAACCCAGAGGCTGTAAGTTATCACAACCAATGTGGAAGTTGTCTGAAGGCTTATCCGGGGCTGATCCATTCTGCTCTT